CTACACTACTTAAAGAATGCATTTGATAATCTTGCATGAAAAATGAATGTACAACACAAGTAAGTGACAGAGAGCTGTTGCCTAGAGTATTAAGAAGTCATAGAATCAACAAGAAAAAACATTTCAACCGACTGGACAGACGCCTCCTAAAAGAGATCCAAATGAACAATAAACATATGAAAGGAAATTAGTGCTCAAGGAAACGTAAATTAAGACCCCAGGAAGATATCACTATGCACTCACCAGAGGAGCTACAATTGAAAAGCTGGACAGTACCAAGTGTACAGTATCAAGTGGGATTATGGGACAAGGAGAGTTCTTATCTTGATGATGGGATATATATATATATATGAAAAGTATACACATACAGCTCTGCACATTTCCAAGAATGTTCAAGGTGGCATTATTTATAATACACTGAAAACATAACCATTAAAATAAGTTACAGGACGCATTTTTATGCAGTGAAATTCTATATATTATACCACAGCTACACATAATAGACTTTAAGGAACAAAACACCAAAAAACATATATGATTCATTTATATAAAGTTTAAAAATTGGCAAGATTAAATACTATCATTTAAAAATAATACATAGGCATTTACTGAAATTTATTCAGGGACTTTATACTTGATTAAATTTTGTACATATTCATTGTTTATCAAAAAGAATGTGTATTCTCTTTTTTGGTTAAAAGATTTTATATACAAATACAAATGCAATATTTAAATATATGTGTGTATATAAATGCAATAAGCATACATTCTATAATCTTCTGTATATCAATGTTAATTTGTTAATATCATAGATGTCTGTGGTGCAATATGATGTTCACATAAGTTTCCTTATTAATGCTAAAGAATACTTTTTATAATTAATATTGCTACATGAAGTTCTTTATTCTTGTTGCTTAGAATTTGCCTGGCATTATCTTTATCTAGCCTTCATTTTCTATATTCTAGTTGTTTAACTGTTTCTTAATGTTTGTTTTTAATTGTCTAATTAATAACAGACTGGTTAGCTAGTGAAGCAGCAAAGTGCTCAGATTAAGTAAGAGGTGATTAAACTATAATATGGTCCAGTAATCTAGTCTGGACCATCAGCAAATTTCATCTTGAGGTTACTGCTGGGAAAGCATCTCTCTGGTATACAAAGCATCTGCATTTAAAAACAGGATTTTGTTGATAGAAAGTAAGCTTATTTTTCTATTCCTTTCACTTTTCAGAACAGTTTTTTATTTTTATTTTTTTTAAAACAGTTTAGAGCAATCACTTTTTATAAAACCAGTCATTTTCAGATTATTTTTTAAATGTGATTAAAAAAAATTTTTTTTTTTTATTACATTGATATTTTTATTTTTCAAATGTGATTTCTAACTTGTAACCACTAGGTTTTTTCCTTCATTTTCAAGCAAAAGTTTCACACTTTGTGGGCTGGTAACTTTGTAAATGAGAGGGTTTACTAGAATTGGGGAAGAGGAGGGAAGTTCGACTGAGTTAGATCTGTGATCCAATTAGGGGTGAGCTGACTGAATTAAAATTCTGATAGTACTTATAGAGCCTGTTAATCACTTGATTTTTCATTTAGAGATTCTTTCCTAAAAAGAGCATCTTTCTGGGTCTTGGTGTAACTTCACTTTAAACCTGGATTTCAGACTAGCAGAATAAAAATTGCTTTTTTCTCCTTTAAAGTATAAGGAGGTATAAGATTAAGGTAATAACTTTTTGCAGCAAAATGTGATTTTTTTTTTTCTTGTTAAAGCTCATTCACTCTCTCTCTCATGCATTCACTCATTCATTCATTTGGAAATCACTTATGTGCACCTATTTGTGCCAGGCACTGCTTTAGGAAATAGAGCCAGACACCAGTTTCCAGGAAGACTGCAGGGATCTAGACTCAGAGAACAAGGGAGAGGATTAGGGTTACCTAACAGTGTGTTCATATCTTCTAATACACAGAAAGCTCAATGTAAGGACACAATCAAAAGCAGCTCAGTACATCTGCTGGGGAGAGATGAGGAGTCCTCTGAGAAAAACAGCTTCCATTTTCTCAGGGAAGTCAGATGATTATCCATTCCTGGGAAACAAAATGAGGGAAAGGAGGGTGGAAGAGGTATGTGGATTAGAAGAAAGGAGAATGTGGCAAATTATAATACTGCAGAATAGGAAAATAAGCAATTAGGAGAGTGTAAGAGGACTGCTGGGTAGAATAAAGGGCTCACCTAGGTTTCTGTGGAAATGACTTTAAAATGAGGATTCTTAGTTACGTATGCTTTTTACCAGCTGACTGGGCAAATTAGGTTTTTAAGTTAATCTTACTTTATCTAATATTTTCAAGTCATTTAAATAAAAAAATTTTAGAGTTTTGGCTTTTCACTAATACTTTAAAATTATTTAAGCAAACTTTTTAGTTTCTTTTCCTTATTAATACTTTCAGACCATTTAAGCTAAAGCTTTTAATTTTGTGGGCTAATTATATTTTAAGTTGGTGTTAATGAAACTACAGGGGTGGTTATATAATCATGGTTGGCGACCAAAAGGTTATGTGGTTGAATGGGAGATGAACGAATCCAGGTGACTGACTCAGGGCTGATAAGTTGGAATATATTAATAAAAAACTAGGAGAGTTTTCTAATTTGTGTCACCACCTTGCCATCCATGTCATTCCTCCACTTCAGTGTGCTAATCATTCATTCATTCAACAGATACTTACTCAGCACCTATTATGTGCCAGGCACTGTTCTATATGCAGAGGATACACCAGTGAACAAGAGAGACAAGGTTTCTGCTTTCCTGGAACTTATGTTCTAATACAAGAAGATAGACAACAATAAAAAAAATATTAATAATAATAATAATTAACATCTGGTTAGCAAATATTGTTTGTTGAGAATTTTAAGCACTAGTATTAATTCACTTAATTCTCATAATAACATTATGAGGTGGAAATTAGAATTATTCCCATTTAATACATGAGGAAACTGAGGGCAAAGGGTAAATATCTTGCCTGAAGTCACAGTTAGGAAAAAGCAGATCTAGATTTCAGAACTGAAACAGGCTGGCTGTAGGTTCCTTCCTCTTAATGACTTTGCTACGCTGCCTCTCAGACAAGAAACAAGGAAATAAACAATCAAACAATACATTCACAAGTGTTTAGTACTATGACAAAATAAAACAGGGTGATGTGATGCTATTTGTGTATTGGCAGGATGGGGGTGTAAAAGTAGATGTCAGGAAACCTGAGGAGGTCGTCTTTGAGTTGAGACTTGAAGAATGGTAATACAGCTATACCGAGGCACATATACAACAGAGAAAAGCGAGTGCAAAGAAATCTAGTCTGTGAAACAGAAATGCAGTGTTGCCTGTGGCTAGAGCTTAGTGTGTAGCACAATGATTAGAAGTGAAACCAGGGAGATAGGTAGGGACCAAACCCTACAAACTCTCAGGTCAGGTCACATTAAGAAGTTTGATTTTTATTCTAAGTGCAGTGAATTTTTATGCAGGAGAGTAACATTACCTGATTCACGATTTTAAAAGATCCCTCTCATTTTTATATGCGAAGTTAACTGTGGGAGAAAAGTGGGAGCAGGAAGATCATTAGGGGACAATTACAATCCAGGTAGAAAATGGTGGCATGGACTAAGGCAGTGGAATGAAATTTGGGGTATATGCTGAAAGTAGAATTAGGGAAGACTTGCAAGTAAACTGGATAAGAAAACTGAAGGAAAAGGAATTTAAGCAGGAGGCTTGGGATTCTGGTTTGAGTAACTAGCCTGATGGCAGTCGTGTCCTTTACTGAGACGTGGAAGGTTAGAGAGTAATACCTTAGGTGAGAAAAATCAAGATTAGCAACTTGAATTTTATGAGGGAAACATTTTCTAATGCTTTGTTTCACTTAAAGTTCAAAGAAAGGGTTCTGGGGGCGTGAGTGGGCGAAGCTTTTTCTGTTCGATATTATGAGCTCTTTACATTTGAAACTAAGTTGGGGGAGTTGAATTTTCAATTGTTTAACAAATATCTACTGAACATCTACTGTGGCCAAGGATTATGTGATTAGATACCAAGTTGAACTAGAAAGGCAAACCAAATCCACGCTCCCAGGGGGCTTTTGGTGGGGGAAGGAGTTAGGACGATACGTGATTTTTTTATTTCCCCGTTGTTACCTTACGAAAACTTCACCTAATGCATGAGTAGCCATCTTACAATACTAACTGCATCTAGGGCTCCCGGCAGTTGGGCCCACCATTCTAAACGTTCAATGTCGGTCAGTATATAAATGAATCTCGATAGGGACACCTCCCCTCCCACTAGAACTTAGGCTTTTTTAAAAAATAAAAATTTTAACGAACGTTACGAATACAACCTTCGATGTGAAGACTAATATTTTTGCGGGAATGGTACCTTTATAAAGATCGTGGTTGCCCCAGTACATATTTGTTCTTTCTTCATATCCAATTAAATGCAAATACTACTTTCCGTAGCCCAACTCTCTAGGCTTGTTGGGTCTAGCTCAGGAGAAAGGAAGCAGGAGCCGTTGGATTTTAAACAGTTTGGTGTAATCCTTTTCTATGCTCTCTCGCTAGCCGGGTATTTGGTATCGGCTACCCGCGGCTCTCCGTTCACGCAGTACTGGAATGAAGGAATCTGGGAGGGGGTCGGGAAAGGAAAAGACGGAAGATACGTTAATTGGCTCTCGAAGGTACAAACCGACGTTCACGGTGTACTCTAAACGACGGATTTCAAATGCCCGCCCCCTGGACCGTTTCAGCCCCGCCCCTTGCGTCGTCACTTCAACTTCCACCTTGGTCTCCGCTGATTGGTCCTTGCCTCCGCCTCCGAAGGGCGGCTGAAGAGTTCGGGGTTTGCTTCCGGGTCTTGGGCTTTTTTTTTTTTTTTTTTGGCCGCGGGTGCAGAGGTTTCTGGGAGCAGTCATGATGGCGTCTGTATGATCTCCAGAGGCAGCGGCGTCGGAGCTCGGCCAAAGTGAGCGGCAAGACGAAAGCAGACTGTGGGTTGGGCCGTAAGGGGCAGTTGGCGGCGGAGGCAGAGAAACCGGTGCGGGCGGTGGAGGCGCCAGAGCTCCAGACGAGGATAGTCGAGTGTAGGTGGGGCCGGAAGGGGCAGCTGGGGGCGGAGTCAGAGAGCCTGTACGGGCGGAGGCGGCGGCGGAGCTGCAGGCGAGCGGTGGCGCTTGGCGCCTAGCGAGCGTGTCCCTGGTCTCCGGCCGGTCGCCGAGAGCGCATCGCCAAGGCGGCTCTGCAGAGGGCCGCCCCTCGCCCCCTGGGATAGGGGAGAAGAGTCAGCGGGCTCCCTGGGATAGCCTGGAGGTGAACTCCCTGCCCCCGGGATGATTCTCTGTTGGGGGAGGCGGCGGTGCTCCCTTGCGGCCTTCATCCCTGTTTCTGTCTCTGGATACATCCCTCTCCCCCCGCCCCTTTTTCTTCCGGAAAATCTAGAGAAGTATATCGTTTCCCCCGACACTTGCTTTTCTGACGCGTGAGGATGTTTCAGTAACCACAAACGGGTCCCTAATGTTTGGCTATCAGAGTTCTTTGAGGGTGGGCTCTTGTGTTTCCAGCATTTCTTAAATAGTAACTTGTGAAAGATCTGGTTTATATTATGTTGGCTGCTGCTGGAGGAAATTTGATCAACAAAAGATTGTTGGAGATATTTGCCTATGTAACTGTCGTTGAAGTTTAGCACACTTTTTTCTAGAACACTCAGTAACTGTGTCAGTGATTTTTTTTTTTTTAAAGATGTTTTTGTGGTTGCTAACCTGTTCTGTGTGAGGTTTAGATGAAATGGGAGTAAGGAGTCTGGTGGCATGAGATTGAGTGGAGATGTTTAAAACTCAGACGTGACTGTACTCTATTTTACAAGGGTTTTGATGTGTCAAGTCTCCTGATTTAATAATCTTATGAGGAATATCCCCATTCCACAGATAACAGAAACTTAAACTTGGTGGCTTGCCAGGGGTCACAGATGTTTGAGGGAATGAGCTAGGGCAATTATTTCACAAGGATGGATATTGATTAATGCTTTTCAAAATGAGAGTTTTTAAAAATAACTTGGCACTGTTTTTCTTCAAAGCATAAAAGATGACAACAGCAGCTCGGCCAACTTTTGAACCTGCAAGAGGTGGAAGAGGAAAAGGTGAGGGTGATTTGAGCCAGCTCTCAAAGCAGTATTCAAGCAGAGACCTACCCTCTCATACAAAGATAAAATATAGGTAATGAAGCCTTTTATTTTTTTTCTTGTTTCACAAGCAAGACCAAATCTTTTAAATGATATGGTCATCAGATAGCGTGTTTGGGTTATTATCACTCAAGTTATCTATTTTCATAGGGGTAGAGTGTAGTAGTGTTTCTGACACCAAAATTATGCTCCATGATTTAAAAGTGCTACCAGATACTCCTTAAGCAGAAATTCCAGTTTACCAGGAATTTCTGTATGTAGATTGAACAATGACTAGTAACACGTTCTGTCAGGAGGAGTAAGCACTATCAGTACTAATCAGTATGAGATTAAAAGTGTTGCTGTAACAAGCCCTGAGTTAGCATACTAACAAAAAGTAAAGGCGTTTTGATCAACCTGCTGCCTTACTATGGGAAAGTATGTTGATTTAGTTTGAGGTTATTGACATCACAGGATGCCTCTAGTAACCTTCAGATTAGACTAATGATCTTGTTGATTCCCCTAGTGGAATTTTATGCTTTAGGGACTCAGGATAAAGTTGTGTTTCTTGAATTGTCTTCTGTTATTACAGCCATTTGTTTTTTAGAAGTAACTTTGCCTTGTTTTGTTTCTACTTCAGACAGACCACTCAGGATGCCCCTGAAGAGGTTCGAAACCGTGACTTCAGGAGAGAGTTGGAAGAGAGAGAGAGAGCTGCTGCAAGAGAAAAAAACAGAGATCGGCCAACCCGAGGTACCAACACTACTTTAGACATTTCTCTCATGACATTATGTTGACAAACAGTTTTTCTTTATGTAGTAATAGGAATAGATTATTATTTTTGTTTGTTTGCTTTTAAAATTGGGTAAGAGCTGTAGCAGTTTCTTGAAAGATTGGATTGGATTGATTGGACTAGATTACATTGGGTTGGATTAGAGATGATAATGAAATTGATACCAATTTCATCTTTTTATGCTTCTTATTAGAACTAGTAGGGTATATTTAGCAACCATTGTTTCAATTCAGATTAAGGAGTTTTTGACTACTTAGAGCAGCCAGACTCTTTAAGTCCCCATGGTTTCTGTCTATGAAGTTCTTCCATTTTTATTTTTAGCATGTGTAAACTATATCCTAAATTTCCTGAGGCCACAGTTCCCATACTAAAATCAGTACTTTTGTTAACTCATTCAGCAAATATTTGTCTAAGACTTATTTGCCTGCCCCTGTTGTTATAATCCCTACTGTTAGGTTTAAGATCTAAGCTCTCTGTGCCCACAAGTCCCTAAAATGTTACCGGAAATGCAGGATTTGATTCAGTGAGCTAACTAATGTTTGTTTTCTCCCAGAACATACAACCTCTTCCTCAGTGTCAAAGAAGCCACGATTGGACCAGATTCCTGCTGCCAACCTTGATGCAGATGACCCCCTAACAGATGTATGTTTTACTTCTTCCTCTCATCTGCATGTAGTAATTTACTTACATTTTTCTGAAATACTTTTCAATTTACTTTTTTAGCTTTAAGAAGCAATTTGTATTTACTTACTATTATTCAGTTACAGGTCTGACTTCAGTTTATTTTAAAACAAAAAAAGCATTATCTTGTTAATCAGATTTCAAGTTTGATTTCTAGAGAACCAGAAAGGTGTGCTTCCCTAAAAAATAATTCCCTGTATTAAACCATGGAAATGGATAGCTCTGCCTCTTCAGACTGGGCTCTTCATCAGTAGCATCCCCTCCAGTGAACGTAGGGACCGTTCCCTATTCTCAACCAGTGTTGCCTCTTCTACTCGTTCAGTGGGCATAATGGCTCCTTCTGTGTTTAGGGAGGCATGTGATCTAAGTGAAAGGTTTTTAAGGATTGGCACTTTCATTAACATTCAAATTTAGTGGAACCCCACAGACCCACTAAATTTGTGGTTTTCTACATACAGAAAAAAGTCTTAAAGGGTAGCATCTAATTAAGCATATATGTTAGTAATTCTAGAATTGATAGACTAAATTAAAAATTAACATCATAATTCAGTATAAGAAATTCAGTTTTAAGTGAGATTTAATGATTATTCATTTGAAATTATTTTACTCTGAGAATTTAGCACCCTGTTCTGTACTTCGAATTATTCTTACTTCCTAATTGTTTTGGGCAATATTAAAGTGTTTTGACCCTCAGGGTCAAAGTATGTAGTTAGTGTGTATCAGTGTAAAGTGTTCCTTTTCCAGTTTTACAGTTATTTTCATGTGTAAATCCTTATTTGATCATGTAAATTTGAAAGATACTATTAGCTGCTATAATGTCTAAAATACATTTTAAGATACATTTTAGTAAGTAGTCATAAACTACTTGTGAGGTTTTATTTTACTTTTTGTTTGGTTGCTGATCTAATTTTATTTAGCTACATTTATCTTTCCCACTGGGAAAATTAATCCTGCTCCAAAGATTTGGTAAGTGCCATTTTTATGGAAAAAAAATAACTTATGCCTATTTTGTGTCTAACCTCCTTTGCCATCACCATTCTTTTTTAGGAGGAAGATGAAGATGAAGATTTTGAAGAGGAGAGTGATGATGACGACACTGCAGCTCTTCTTGCAGAGCTGGAAAAAATTAAAAAAGAAAGAGCTGAAGAGCAGGCCAGGAAGGTGAGACCAACATATTAAATGTTTTTACATCATCTCACATAAATTATAGCAGAAGTGTTGTTTAATTCAAGTAGTAGCACCTTCGTAGAAAGCAGTGGCACCCCACTCCAGTACTCTTGCCTCTAAAATCCCATGGATGGAAGAGCCTGGTAGGCTGTAGTCCGTGGGGTCGCTAAGAGTCGGACCCGACTGAGCGACTTCACTTTCACTTTTCATTTTCATGCGTTGGAAAAGGAAATGGCAACCCATTCCAGTATTCTTGCCTGGAGAATCCCAGGGATGGGGGGAGCCTGGTGGGCTGACGTCTGTGGGGTCGCACAGAGTCGGACACGACTGAAGTGACTCAGCAGTAGCAGTAGCAGTAGTAGCACCTTATATTAGAAATCATCCTTGCCAGGTCTAGATAAAATTCTAGCACCTGTAGGTCTATAGATCTGGTAATTTCTGTGACATCCTAAGTCTTCTAGTTATGTTAGAAATTCTTTTGAAATGGTTCAAACATGCTTTAGGCCTAGTCATTAAATTGTTCTTCACTCATTTATGTGTTCAACAGACATTTAGTCAGTGTCTATTAAGTGTCAGAAGAATCAAAGATGACTAGGTGTAGTCATTACCTAGGAAGAACCCACAGATATAATGAAACCATCTTTACCTCTGTCCTTGTCTTCTGCCCCAGTCTTCTTTCCAGGCACTTGCTGAGGCCGTCTGTCAATAAATTTTATGTAACCTAGTTTCTGAGTCCCCACAGTCTCTCTCTTTGGAAGGAAAGAATGTCTTAACTCAAAGACAGTTAGATAAATTAAATAGGACCCATAGTATGTACATTTATTACATAATTACCCATAGTAGTAACAATAAGAGATAAAACTTAGGAGTCAAGAGTGAGTGAGTGCACTGACCATTTGTAGATCAATGCAAACAGTTTGAACTCTGTTTGAACTCTGTTCTAAAGGGTATGCAGAACTAGTCAATTTCAGCAGGAGATGGTAGGGTTGAGGGTGCATTTTAGAAAGGTTACTCTGGCCAAAGTGGGGAGGATGCAAGAAAGAACTGATTAGAGGGCTGTTTCAATAATCCTCATATCCTGTTATGAGAGTCTTGCATGCTAGGAGTTGAATTTGAGAGATGTTAACTCTCAGGGAGATAAAATTGACCAAAGAAAAGTGACAAATTAGCTATGGCAGTTCCTGGGTCTGTATGAGTGCCATACACTAATTCAGGGAACGTAGAAGGATGGGCATGCTTCAGTGGAGAGAAAAGAAATGATGAGTTCTGTTTGGAACATGTTGAATTAGGCACACTGTGAGACCCTCAGGTAGATCTATCTGCCTCCACTTTCAACCAGAATAGAGCAAAAAATTTTTTTAAGTGGGCTTCTTTGTAAGATTTTATTTGAACCAAGAATTGTTCTGTTTAGAAAAAGGAAAAAGACTGATGTAGGCTATGCTTGGAACCTAGGGAGGTAGAACTCATGTGGGTCAGAAGGACCAGGGAAGAATTGAGAAAATAGGTAGAATTGGGGATAGGCTTTGAAGACAGTTAGAATTCACATTGGAAGAGTAAAAACATTAAAGATACAATTCGTGTCAAAATTTGGCACAGGATAGCAAAACTCCAATAGAACTATAAGACCATTCCTATGCCTGTGTACCACAAGAGGGCAGTTTTTCTATTCCAAATTCTTGTGGGCTTCCTAACAGCTGTGGATACAGAAGGAGACAATTAAATGCATTTGGAGCATAAACATTCATTTAAGGAGCATAAGCATTTTAGACAGAAGTTCTTGGTAATTTTGCAAGATGCATCTGATTTCTTTGTACAAATATGTGTTGGTGTATTTTGGAGTCAGATGACAGTTTTGTACGTATTTCCCTATCTTGCTTTCTAGTGGCTGGCTTTTGAGGTGTTTCAAAACATTTTCAAACCAGTCAGCCTATGTTAGGGACTGGGAAACTGTCTATAAAGGACTAGATAGTAACTGTATTAGGCTTGCAGACCACATAGCCTCTGTCACAACTTTTCAACTCAGCTGATTGTAGGATAAGCAGCCATAGGAATCATAAATAAATGAATGAGACTGTACCAGTAAAATTTATTTACAAAACAAGATGGTTTGGATTGGAGTAAACCACAGGCTGTCCATCCTGTATACCCATGGTCACGAAACAGTGTACCTGGTACTGGAGTATGGAAAGAGTGTCACCTTTTTCCCCAGTGCTGTGTGTGGCAACCAGCCAATAACACTAAAGGAAATGATAGGAAATTGTTCTTGGTAATAATAACTTGTCACCAGTCCTAGAGATGCAAGTTTACATTGCTACTGAGTCGAAAGATTATTTATAATCGGCTATATTAACCCTTCTTTAGAAATTGAGATAAATTGCTTTGCTAAATGTGTCTTTTTGATGTTTAACATGTTCTTAAATGATTAGAATGTTTACTGATATACTGTCTAAGCAATTATGTAACTTTGTATGTAATTCAAGAAAGAAAATATGTTTAAATATGCAACTCAAGAATTTCAAAGTCAGAAGGAGACTAATGAATGCTAACAAACTTGAAAGTGCCAAATTATTTCAGTAAATGAGACTTTTTTGGTATATCTTTAAAAACAAAAACAGTGCTATCTTGATGCTTATCCCATCTCTCCCTAAAAATCCTAACAGTCTTTTAAAATATGAGTTATGATAATAAGATTGATGCCAGAGTTAATATAAGTAAATGAATCTTTTACTTAGGAATCTTCCCATATCATTGACAGGAACAAGAACAAAAGGCTGAAGAAGAAAGGATTCGTATGGAAAACATTCTGAGTGGAAACCCTCTTCTTAATCTCACTGGCCCATCCCAGCCTCAGGCCAACTTTAAAGTTAAAAGAAGGTATTGTACAGTAAATAAGTTGGAGATTTTATGTATATGTATACAGTACAGATTATATATAAAATAAAGTTGTATCTGTAGTTTTTTTATTGTATTAAACTATATGGTGGTTCTACGTTGTTTGGTGCAGATAGGAATGTTTGGAGGTTGAAACATGTCTTAATGTGCAGATCACATTTGACCTAGCTCTGCTCAGCTTTTCACATTTCTCTGCACTGCGCCAGTGATGACTTACAACCCTTTTCAAAGATGCCCATGTTCTTTGCTGATTTTCCACGTGCAGTTTCCTCTGACATGCATACATCCACACACAAACACACATTGTATAGACTTTCATTTGATACATGTTTGTGAGAACCCATATATTGCATATATGAGTTTGTGTTTTATATGCTAGATGATATTTTGAAATAATAGTCTTTATTTTCTCTAAAACATGTATTTAAGCCCATCCTGGGCTGCCTGGTTTTTTGTTTGTTTTCTTTTTTTTTTTTAATTTATACATTATGAAAGCCAGCCAAGAGAATCTTAACCAGAGTCCTGCCCTAAGCTCTTCAGCTGCTCTTTCCTTGTGGTTAATGTAGATGTGGGCCAACATATGAGCCTTAATAATTTCTTCTTTTGTCCTAAATTGTTAAATGGTAAGAGTATATATAAAATCCTTAAAACCACGTAATGTAACTATAGTGACTTGCCCAGTTATCCTTGAGACCTGTCCATACTAATCAGGGTAGTACCAGGTGCTGCCTCTTTGTTTTTGACCTGAAAACATTGAATATGCAGTTTCTGCTTTTTTAACTCAAAGCTTCTTATACTGGAGAAATAATAAGAATGTTGTGTATATTCTAAAATAGGGATTACCCTTCCTGTTATGAAAAAGCAAGCCAACCACCTCTTAAAATTTACTTATTCTTTTCAGTATAATTGCAGCATCAAACGACATGTGTGTTGAGCATGAGGAAGCTTTGCAGTTCACCTGATGTTTTTATCTCTTGATCCAGGTGTTGTAAGATTGTTCTATTTTTTTTTCTTTCAGGTGGGATGATGATGTTGTCTTTAAGAACTGTGCAAAAGGTGTAGATGATCAGAAGAAAGACAAAAGATTTGTAAATGATACGCTTCGATCTGAATTTCACAAAAAGTTCATGGAAAAATACATTAAATAGTACAGTTTTATGTGCTGAATTGAAGGCTATAAAATGTAAATGATCTGACTTCATTTTGATTTATTTTTCCCTCCCCACCCATGTCTAAATTGTGTATAGGCTTCCCTAATTTTTAGTTCCAAAGTATCTTTTCCTTTATTGGTTAATTACTTGGTAAGGACTTGGGAACTGGTTTAACCCAGTTTCCATCTCAATATTTCCAGTCATGTGTTTTCTCTTAAATATGGGAAAAGAAACCTGCTTATAATAAATATTTTTAATAATCTAAATAGCCAAATCTGTGTCCCCAACTTGTTTGTTGAAATGTATGCAGCTAATAAAACATTGCATATTTTCTTCTGTGTGTTGTATTTCTTTGCATGTTAGCTTTTTCTCGTCATATCTCAAGTCATTTAATTGATATCTCCTCTATCTTTTGAAAACTGTGATGAAAGATTAAAGGGATTCCATCTTGGACCACTGTGTTGGTCCAAACACAGAGAGGAGTGTTGTCGAGCAGAAAGCTCCCCGAGTGCGTGTGTGAGGGAGCATGGGGTACGTCTCACTTTGGGGTTGCCCCTTCTCTCTCAGCCCCAGACAAGAGCTGCTTAAGTTTGCCCAGGAGTGGCATTCACCTGTGTTCTGGATACCCGGCTGCCATGTTTCTCTTGAGTGAGAGAGTTTGCACAGTGACACTAGATGCAAAGCCTGGGAGAGTTTAACATCAAACAGTATATGAAATGAAACTTTTGGAAATAAGAGGATATGGATACAGGAAGTGGGGGCGTTTACACAGATGGGCAATGAAGTTTCCCTAAACCTTGGCTAGGATTTTTATGGTTGTCATTTTATTAGAAAATGTGAGACTGGAAATTGAATCTTCTACTGGTAGAGACCCATTCATGGGATTCCCCTATTGTAAATGATGCTAAGCTTGGTAGGGTTAAAGGTAAAACCTTTAAAGCAAAAACAACTTGTTATTTATCACTGGCTGTTTATTTAAACTCTAGGATCCCCAGTGGAAGCTTGGACACCGGTTAACCTGAGTCCAGGGGAGAACTGGAATTACCGCCCAGGTCTTGACCAAGTTTATGCCCTGTGTTTTTGGTTTTTCTCCCAACTGAGCAATTTACATTGACGTCTGAATACCTTGACAAGTGTACTCTTTTTTTTTTTTTTTTTTAATTTGGCTGTGCTGGGTCCTAGTTGGATCTGGTTCCCTGACCGGGGATTAAACCTGGATCCCCAGGATTGGAAACGGAGTCTGAGCCACTGAACCACCAGAAAAGTCCCTTGACTAGTGTTTTATAAAAAACCTTTCATAATACTGAAATGTTTTTGTCTACAACTTCTAATTTCTAAAGTGCCTTCACTGTCATTTTCAATTTTCTTCATAGCAGTATTTACATAGGAAGGAAACACTGGGTTATTTGAAGCTGAGGAAAGGAAATTCAGGCTCAGTGATTAGATCAGCATTAATACATGGTGGGACACATGCGAGTGTCTAAAACTATGTGAAAATGTGCGTACAGAAGTGAGAAGCATTATTTAGATGTCCAAAAGTAGTTCTTGGGATTATGGGTAAAGTCTTGAGGAAAAGAAGTAGCAATTAATCATAAAGCTTTTTAGTATATAAAAGGCTTATAACTCATACCCAAGGGCCCAATTTAGGTGCACCCTTACTCTGAGATCCACTTACTTCAGATAACCTATTGGAACCCAATAGGTTCAGGAAGAATCAGAGTAAAACTAATTTCAATGATTTTTTTAATCCATTTTCCTAATGTTTTCCAATGTGAGACAACATTATGTAACTGGTCATAGATCAAGGACACATAAAAATGGTACAGTTTCAGCTCTCAGATTTATAAAGCCAGTAACAGCCTTCCTTGCAAAAATGCCTAACGTTCTCTTTGCAGCACATCTTGGCGTAGGTGTGGCTGAGGAAACCGTCTAATCCTGCCAAGAGCCAGGACTTGGAAGAAGGGTGGATGTGAATGTGAAGCCCAGCTCTCTCACCTCGGGTTCCACTAAAGCAAACTAGCTAACATTTCACCAAATGTACTTGTGCTATATGCATGTAATCAACACTGCTCCCTATAAGGCAGGCGTCATTATTTTCTGTGTTTTATAAACAAGGAAATTGAAGTTTCTAAGAGAAATTTAAAAACAAGCCAAGTCATAAATCTTTAAGAGAATAAGACCAAGATTCAAACCTTGCAGTGTCTATTTGCAACTCATCCTCTTAACTGCTCGGAGGAAGAAATGGCAACCCATTCCAGTGTTCTTGCCTGGAGAATCCCATGGACAGAGGAGCCTGGCAGGCTACAAGAGTTGGGGTTCCAAGAGTTGGACACAACTTGGCAACTAAACTGCCACCACCACCTCTTAACTGCTATGCTTGACTTTCTTTGTGTGAAATAGCCCTTCTGACATTTCTCACCTATGAAACAGCAGTAACCAGGGTGATGAGTAAGGGAATTTGATGGAAATCAATTTAAGGTTGAGTACCTGGCAGATATATAGTAGGGATTTCATCCATGTTCTCTTTCTACCTGCCTCTTCTAGCATATAGCATGGGCTGCTAAAAAGTTTAAATGCCTGTTGTTTGTTCTATCATAAAAATGTGTGTGTGTGTGTGTGTGTGTGTGTGTGTGTTAGCCACTCGCTCATGTCCGACTCTTTGTGACTCCATGGACTGTAGCCCACCAGGCTCCTTTGTCCATGGGATTCTCCAGGCAAGAATACTGGGGTGGTTTGCCATTTCCTTCTCCTACGGTTTTGAATTAAGAGGTTCCCAATTCCTTGAGTGGAGAAGACAACGGCAACCCACTCTGGTACTCTCGATTGCAAAATCCCACGGACAGAGGAGCCTGGTGGGCTGCAGTCCATGGGGTCGGTAAGAGTCGGACACGACTGAGCAACTTCACTTTCACTTTCACTTTCATGCACTGGAGAAGGAAATGGCAACCCACTCCAGAGTTCTTGCCTGGAGAATCCCAGGGACGGCGGAGCCTGGTGGGCTGCCGTCTATGGGGTCGCACAGAGTCAGGCACGACTGAAGTGACTTAGCAGCAGCAGCAATTCCTTCAGAGGGCTTCCTAGGTGGTGCTAGTGGTGAAGAAGCCACCTGCTAGTGCAGGAGACTCAGAAGATGTGGGTTTGATCCCTGGGCAAAGAAGATCCTCTGGAGAAGGAAATGGTGACCTACTCCAGTACCCCTGCAGGAATAACCCCATGGACAGAGGAGCCTGGCAGGCTACCACGGGGTCACAAAGAGTCAGATGTGGCTGAGCACCCTCTCAACCCTTCAGAGTTTACCTTGGGTTATTAGTATGGCCTCAACAGGGATTGATTGGTTTTGCTTGGTTACTAGGATTAAAAACCACTAGGGACTTCCCCAGTGGTCCAGTGGTAACACTACGTGCTCACAAAGCAAGGGGTCCAGGTTTAATCCCTGGTCAAGGAACTAGAGCCTGCAAGCCACAACTTAAGACCCAGAACAGCCAAATAAATAAAATATTTTTTTAGAAAGTAACTAACAGAAACTCAAGTGAAATAGAGGCTTATCTTTTTTATTTTTTTGGAATTGAAATATGTCTGATTTACAAAGCTGAGTTAGTTTCAGGTGTATAGCAAAGTCAATCAGTTACAACCTTCTGACTTTGTCACAAGGAAGGGCTCTCATATGGCCCTGAAATCTCCTCAAGGCTCACACCCCACTGGAAGTCCAACTCTTGGCCTCAGAGGCCTATTTCCAGAGTGTAGGTTAAATCAGCACTGGGTGCTGAGTCACTGTCTGGAAGCCTTGACTTCAAACAAGCCCCAGTGGAAGAAAAAGCTGTGGATGAGGAGAAAACTGAGATGGCAAAGCTCACAGAGGGTCGACGCGCGAGCCTGGGCGGTGGGCCTGCAGACCAGGCTCCCTACCGCCCTCCGGCCCCGGGAGAGCTGCTCCCTTGCCACCTTCCTGTTTAAAGCCTTCAACAAGCAGTGAGGAAAATGCTGGAAAATCATCTCTGTCAAGATAGCTACAGAAAATGGAAAACGTATAGTCATAAACCTAATAGGAAATGTCGGTAATATTCCACTGTGGGGCATTAATAAAATACAATAAATGTAGCAAAACATATATTTCTGGATGGGATGACTCAATAAGGGAAGATATAAGTTCTCCAACCCCTAAAAAACTTTATGAAATTTCAGAAGGTTGGGATATTTTCCATGAATATTTTGACCAAATTGCTTAACATTTTTCTGTTAAAATAAGTTTGTAAGAATAGCCAGGAAAAAATTCTGGCAAGGAAACATAGTGAGAGGGATTTTCTCCACCAGTTAAAAACAAAATGTACAAAGAAACCAAAACAGAAAGAGACGCATGTACCCCAATGTTAACTGCAGCACTATTTATAATAGCTAGGACACGGAAGCAACCTAGATGTCCATCCACAGATGAATGGATAAGGAAGCTCTGGTACATACACAGAATGAAATACTACTCGGTCATAACAAGGAATGCATTTGAGTCAGTTCTAATGAGGTGGATGAACCTAGAGCCTATTATACAAAGTAACTCAGAAAGAGAAAAACAAATATCATGTATTAATGCATATATATGGAATCTAGAAGGATGGTACTGATGAACCTGATTCACAGAGCAGCAGTGGAGATGCAGACAGAGAAGAGATTTACGGACGGGGTGGGGGAGGAGAGGGAGAGGGAGAGATGAATGGAGAGTAGCTTGGAGGCACACACGCTAACATATGTAAACAGCCAGCCAACGGGAATTTGCCGTATGACTCAGGGAACTCAAACGGGTGATAACCTGGAGGGGTGGGGATGGGCGGCAGGTGGAAGGGAGACTCAAGAGGGAGGGGACATATGTACACTTAATGGTTAATTCATGTTGATGTATGACAGAAATCAAACCAATATTGTAAAGCAATCATCAATTAATTAAAAAAAGATAAAATTTTTAATGCATTAGAAATTTACAAAAATTAGTGTGGTGCTGGCAACAGAGTAGAGAGATGGAAAGAAATGGAACATAAAAAGTCTGAACACAAATGAGGTACATAAAATCATTTTGTAGATAAGAAAAATCTTAACAAGAAAATCAATGGAGTCATTTGCAGCAATATGGACGGACCTAGAGATCATCAGTACTAAGTGAAATAATTCAGAGAAATACAAATATCATATATACATGATATCATGTTATATCAATATCATGTATATATGATATTCTACATATGTGGAATCTAAAAACAAGATACAAATGAACTTATTTACAAAAGAGAAATAGACTCACAGACACAGAAATATTTAGGATTACTTAAGGGGAAAGAGTAGGGGAGG